TCCATATCATTTTACAAAACAATAGTTACACCTATATAAAAAAAGAGAAGATTAAAAATACACGTGATTTCAAATCATTTCACATGTAATAGTTACACCTAGAAAAAAAAAGAGAAAATTGAAAATAATTGTAATACACGTGATTGTTGTTCACCATTTTGCAAAGTAATAGTTAAATTTAAGAAAAAAGAAAATTGAAGATTCGCATTATCACGTATTATTTACATGTTATGGGTACACCTAAAAAAAGAAAAAAGAGAAAATTGAAAATAAACATGATTCCATATCAATTCACAAAGCAATAGTTACGTCTGTAAAAAAAGAAGAAGAGGAAACTGTACATACACGTGAAATTCGAATCATTTCACATGCGATAGTTACACCTAGAAGAAAGAGAAAATTGAAAATAAACGTAATACCTAGAAAAAAGAGAAAATTGAAGATAAATGTAATACCTAGAAAAAAGAGAAAATAAAAAATAAAAGTGATTTCGAATTATTTCACAAAGTAACAGTTACTCCTAAAAAAAAGAGAAAATTGAAAATAAAAGTGATTTCGAATCATTTCACAGTGCAATAATTATAGATATAAAAAGAGAACGAGAAATACACGTAATTTCAAATCATCTCATGAAATAACAGTTACACACATAAAAAAGAAAATTGTAAATACGTGTAATTGTTGTTTAGAATTTTGCAGAATAATAATTACACATAGGAAAAAAGAAAATTAAAATACACATGATTCCGTATTATTTCACGCGTAACAGTTACACTTAAAAAAAAAGAAAAAATTAAAAATAAACATGATTCCATATCATTTTACAAAACAATAGTTTCATATTATGGGTACACATAAAAAAAGAGAAGATTAAAAATACACGTGATTTCAAATCATTTCACATGTAATAGTTACACCTAGAAAAAAAAGAGAAAATTGAAAATAAGTGTAATACACGTGATTGTTGTTCACCATTTTGCAAAGTAATAGTTAAATTTAAGAAAAAAGAAAATTGAAGATACACATTATCGCGTATTATTTTACATATTATGGGTACACATAAAAAAAGAAAGAAGAGAAAATTGAAAATAAACATGATTCCATATCAATTCACAAAGCAATAGTTACGCCTATAAAAAAAGAAGAAGAGGAAACTGTACATACACGTGAAATTCGAATCATTTCACATGCGATAGTTACACCTAGAAGAAAGAGAAGATTGAAATAAGTGTGATACCTAACAAAAATAGAAAAGAAATAAAAAAAATAAACATAATACCTAGAAAAAAGAGAAAATAAAATAAACGTGATACGTAAAAAATTAAAAAAAATAAAAAATAAACGTAATTTCAAATAATTTCATAGAACAACCGTTATACCTAGAAAAAAGAAAAAATTAAAAATAAACGTGATTTGCAACAATTACACGTGTAAACGAGGGTGCGGGAGGGGGGGGGGTTGGCACATAAGAGGGCCAAAATGTAACATAAATCATAATATAGTAGATCTAAGTGTAATTTCCTCAAACTCTAGAAATTGTTTTTTCCTCAATGTGAACAATCTAGAATAAGCAGCAAGAAAGAGAATTCTAGAGCATTCTCCACTATTCTCAATTTCTCATTTCACCTGAGCCTTCAAAGATGTGTATATATACACCCCTTTTGAGTCCTTGTTGGAGTCAAGTATTTGGGTGTTCTGTTCTTTTCATACTGTTCTTGAAAAGAAGTTGAAATTGAAAAGGATGTTTGGAAGAGGAGGGAAAAAAAAGAGTGATAACACAAAGTTTTATGAAATCTTGGGTGTTTCCAAGAATGCTTCAGAAGATGAAATCAAGAAAGCTTATAGAAAAGCTGCTATGAAGAATCACCCTGATAAGGGTGGTGATCCTGAAAAGGTAATCTTTTTGTTTATTTTTGAAGAAAGGTGAAGTCTTTGTTCTAATTTGGGAGTTTTTTTTTTTTGTTATCGTGTTATGTTTGTTTAAGCTGAAGAGTTGCCAAAGGCTGAGTTTTTGGCTGTGTAAATGTTTTAGTTGAGGTACATTTTAAATTCTGTACCATCTCCTGCTGCCTGCTATATCCTTGTTTCATCCATTGTTTCTTGAAGAATGGCAGTTCTTAGTTTCAATTTGGGAGAAATATACTGGGGGAAGGGGAAGAGGGATCATAAGGTGGGGAATCAAGCTCTCACATTCAGTTTGCCAGCCAAGGAGGTTCTTATGAAGAGGAATTATGGGGAATCAAGTTCTCACTGATAGCCTGAAAATTCAGTTAGCCAGCCAATGGTGGTCCTAAGATTTCGTTTTTTGGGGAGGGGGAGGAAGAATGCTTGTTGAGCTGGTTTATCTCTTTTATGTGTTGGGGTGGTGCCTTTTTTATTGCTATGCTGTTTTGTTTGCTCATCAAGGTGGTGTTTTTAGGCTGTGCAAGTGTTTTAGTTGAGTTGCTTCTTAGAGTTCCATGTATCTGTTGGTTTTGTATTGTAAAGCTGCTTAGATGAACCTGAATACTGGTTTTGTTAAGTAAAGCTGCTTAGATGAACCTCCTGAATACCTGACAAGGGTGGTGATCCTGAAGGATAGCCTTTTTTTCTTTTCATCATCTCCTATTGTTATTTTCCTTTTCCTTTTTGTGTGTTGGTGGTGCTATTTTTTTGTTATGTTTGTTTGATGTAATCTTAAGTTGCTCCCTCCTCATGATGGTGGTTGTGTTTGGAGTTGTTGTCTTCTTGGCTGATAAGCCAGTGAGAAGCTACACTTTTTTGAATGGTCCCTGTTGTTGATTAATCCTCTTTGGGTGGTGTTATTATGCTAATCTGACAACAGTTGTTCTCTTGTGCAGTTTAAGGAGCTAGCTCAAGCTTATGAGGTCTTGAGTGACTCACAGAAGCGTGAGATTTATGATCAGTATGGAGAAGAAGCACTGAAAGAAGGAATGGGTGGTGGTGGTGGCACACATGATCCATTTGACCTCTTTAATTCCTTCTTTAGTGGAAGTCCTTTTGGAGGTTAGATCTAATGAACAAAGCTTTCGTGATGCTTGTTATGTGTTACTTCCTCCATTTCAATTTATTTTTCCCGTTTTGATTTTGATTTGATACGGATATTTGAAGGCAGAATTAAAGAGTTGTCCAAAAACAGGGCAATGTGTGTGTTTTTAGTGGACTGAAAAGGGAAGTACCGCAAACAAATTGAAATGGAGGAAGTATCGAGTTTTCTTTCTGGTCATTTTCGTCTTTGAAGTTGAATAAGACCAGCTTGTCTTTTTTGGGATGGTGGTGCGGTAATTGTTATTGTTGTTTGAAACTGAATAACATGAGTGTGTTTACTGAGCAGGTGGTGGTCGTAGAGGACAAAGAGAGAGGAGGGGTGACGATGTAGTGCATCCATTGAAGGTGTCGCTTGAGGACCTATACAATGGGATGACCAAGAAACTATCGCTTTCGCGCAATGTTATTTGCTCGAAGTGTAGTGGGTCAGTATCTCTCTGATATCCGCATTACTTGATTTCCTGGTAGTGTTTGTAGCCCTATCGTACTTGGCATATAAATGGTTAAACGTAATAGTCTGGAGATGAAAGGATCTCCTGATATAGAGAAGTGAGATTTCAATGCAAGTGCTCAAATGTTCTCTTACGTTGTATTGTATTGGTTTGTTTCTGTAACTGCAGCAAGGGGTCGAAGTCTGGTGAATCAATGAAGTGTTCTGGTTGTGAAGGTACTGGTATGAAGGTTTCAATCAGACAGCTTGGGCCTGGAATGATCCAGCAAATGCAGCAGCCTTGTAATAAATGCAAGGGTACTGGAGAGACAATTGACGATAAGGATCGTTGTCCTCAATGCAAAGGTAAAAAAGTGGTACCAGAGAAGAAAGTCATTGAAGTCCATGTTGAAAAAGGAATGCAAAATGGACAGAAAATTACATTCCCTGGCGAGGCTGATGAAGCGGTAAGCTAATCTTGTCATCTCCCACGTGTTAGTACATTAATGTTGATGATATAGACTTAGGTGGTTGCTGACCTGGTTTAGCTAATCTTGTCATCTCAGACATGTTAGTACATTAGCATTAACGATATAGCCTCGGGTGGTTGCTGACCTGGTTTAATATTGTTGCAGCCTGATACAGTTACTGGAGATGTGGTTTTCGTTCTCCAACAGAAAGATCACCCGAAGTTCAAGAGGAAGGGTGATGACCTGTTTGTTGATCACACATTGACCTTAACTGAGGCACTGTGTGGTTTCCAGTTCATATTGGCACACTTGGATGGCAGACGGCTCCTCGTAAAGTCAAACCCTGGAGAAGTTGTTAAACCTGGTTAGTAACATCTTCATACTTACCCCTGTGTGTGTGTGTACAATGAGTCGATGATCAAGTTCAAATCCTGATTCGAAATAATCTTGATTCAACTTTTCGTTCCAACTACTGCAGATCAATTCAAGGCTATCAATGATGAAGGAATGCCAGTTTACCAGAGGCCATTCATGAAGGGTAAACTGTACATTCATTTCATCGTGGAATTCCCGGATTCGTTGAGCCTGCCACAGGTGCAGCTTCTGGAGGCAATGTTACCATCAAGGCCTACATCACAGTACTCTGACATGGAACTGGATGAATGTGAGGAGACCACATTGCATGATGTGAATATGGAGGAAGAAATGAGAAGGAAACAAGCTGCACAACAAGAAGCATATGATGAGGATGAAGAGATGTCTGGTGGTGGAGGACAGAGAGTACAGTGTGCTCAACAGTAGATGTAGAAAGATTTACCAGTTTGAACTTTGCTTATAGTTTAGTTTGGTTTACTGTTTTCTGTTGTTTTGGAAATGACATGTTTTGGGAAGTCAAAAAACTGATGCTTTAGTGAAATAGAAATATTATTTTCTTGGGGAACAATTTCAAGTCTCAGTCTATACATTCATATATTAACATGCAAATGGAATTTATGTATACTAAAAATATTAAAACTAACAATACGATACAAAATAGATAATAATCTCAAAAGTAAAATAATTCACCCTTAATATTGCACAAGATCTGCAGAATGTTTCTTATTTGTTTCTTACAAGATGACCAGAAGAACTGGACAACATGCTACAGCCTTATTTTGGATGTGGTCTAGTATAGTATGCAAATCAAATCCTCATCAAGGGTCTAGTTGAAGAGGATCTTGTTTTTATGAAGAGGTCTAATTTCATAATCAATGTCAAAACGCAGCAGACTACTTACAGACTAAGTTGTGTGGACTCTTCGATTTGAAGAGTCCGAGTAACATAGCTTTACAAAAAAAATGTCTACTCACACAATCTATGATCTATATCTGTGAACATGACATGACTCAAGTCATCAGCAAACTACTGGAGTCCTGCCCAGTTTCTTTTGGAGATACCACAATATTTGAGGGGTCTTTATTGTAGGCTTATGGATAGATTGTACACACATTTTTGCAACTGCCAAAAGACCTTTAAGCTCTTTGAAATCGTAGCTGTCTCCGAGATCAGGATCAATCATCTGGTGAATGGATCTTCTTCGGAAGCGAGAATCTTGAACCCATTGAACTAAGTCAACACCTCCTTCTTCTGAGGATTGACCGGTGACTAACTCGAGGATCAGCAAACCAAGCTGGAAGATTGTCTGTTTGCAGATCTCATTACCACATTCTGCAAGATAAGCAATGCAAAATCTGAACATAGGTCAAAACTTGTATGATTTGAGGTGATGATAATAAGGAGGAAGCCTTGTACCTTTGGAGCATTTAGACTTCGGAAGTGGATTGTTGTTCTCGACAGAACAAAGGAGGCTAACATCACAGAGCTGGAACAAGGAACCATATGGTCATTATTTTAACAAAAGATGAAGCAGGTCCAAAAAATGTGCATGAAATATGATGATGAAGCAATTTACTATAGAGAGGTGCTCAAGATTGCGAGGCTCACTTTAGCTGTGAAGTTCTCGTCCAGCATGATGGTACTTGAACTGACTGAAACGTGGTACATCGGCGGATCACAAAAGAAGTGGAGATATTCCTAAATCAAGATATAAACAACAATCAGTAATCCAACAGTTAGGTGATAATCAGTTCTTAGAAGAGCCGACACACTAAATAAATTCAGAGTCTGTATTTAGTAATATCGAGGCTGTTCTGAGGGGTTTGCTATTTGAGTTAATCTATCAGTAACTATATCTTCAATGTGGAAAATGAAAAATATAAAAAGCTTGTATTGGAAATGATCAAGATATGACTACATAGTACTAAGCAGCTTGAGGAACATACTAAAGCAGCAGCGATGCCAACTGCTATCTGCAGTCTTATTCTCCAGTTTAGTGGAGTCATCAGAGGGTCTGCAAGAACCAAACATAGATAGAAACACATACATCAAATTCAACGCGAAGTAGACGGAGAAAAAAAAAGAAGAAAGAAGGCTTGTGCTTAAACTTACCAGAAAGGTGTTCCTTCAGACTTCCTTTTTCCATATTTTCAAAGACTAGGAACCTATAGTGGACAAGATATGCTATCAGAGAATGGAGAAAGAAGCCAAAAGAACAAAAGGGAAATGCAACCAAAGAAAAGGAGCATACACACCCAGAATGTATAGGAACTGGAAGCAAAAGGATATCCACTGCAATTAAGCAGATAAAGCTATGCGATACTTTTTCTAATAAAACTGTGGTAAACCATTGTGTAGGTTGATTAGTTTCATTTGCGGTAACAGGAGAAATTGATGACCTTATGTTGTATTACGAGGAACGAAATGTTGAATTTCATTTAATTTCACATTTAAATAGGTCTCTTCAAAATGCTTTCTTTTTCACAGGAAAAATCTCCATGAACTCAGTGCCACAATTAGAGTATCTCTTGCTCTAGCAATGTTCTCGGATTGAACCACCTAGAAATGTCACATTTCTGACCACACCTTGGAAAAGAGTGACTAAGGGACAAGTTTGGGCAGCTAAAATGCATTTGCATTGTCTGATTATCTATTAAAAATGAGACGAAATAAGAAAATAGTAGCTGATGAGACATAACCCAATGAAAGCCTAACACACAAGATAATGGGTTTGCCCCCATAGCTATTTGTACTGCATATGTGATGTGATTATACAAAGGGAAAAGGAAGGAATGGAGATCTATTGGAACTGAAGAAAAGGAAGTACAAACCAATAAAAAACTGAAACATTTCAATAGAACACTGCATGGAAATGAAAATGGGGATTCCCTAATTTTCAGTATATCACTAGAGCTAGAATCTAAATATTCTTGGAAGTCAATATTTTTGCCAGGATTGAGAGCTAATTAAGCATTTGCTTAAGATATTTAGCCTGATTGAGCGATCTATGAACAATTTACAATTGTGACTCGGCGGAACCGGAGGGGGTATTAGGCATTGGCAGAGAGAGCATCTGAAGGGTTAATTCACCTTTGGTGATCACACACCAACCCGGGCAATCACTAGCTACAATCGATGGAATTTTGATTGAAACTATTAATTAAAAAAGCAGCCTGAAGACCCACCGGCCTTTTCAACATCCTATTTACTAGATTAAGTTGGTACTAGTCCGGGTTACCTCAAAGACAGAGCCATTAGGCTAGAAACACAGCCTAGCTAGTGCACTAACTCAAACCTTGTTCTTGCACGAAATGTCCTGCTAACATAGGAGCATTCCTACTAAGAAATGGAAGAGTGAATTTCTTTCTGCTTGACGACACAATGCCTCACCTACAAACCTACCTCCTAGACCAAGGAACCCGCGATTCCCAGTAGTAAGTTGCATTTTGCACGTCTTTTGGTTGCGAAAGAAAAATGGTGACAAAAAATATCAAAGATCAGAGGTCAGATTGCTGGTGATCAGAAATTATGACGGATATTTATGACTTTTTCTGATAGCATCAAAATGTATAAATTGGTAATACAATATACAATAGCACTAGTATTATATTATAATCATAATATGATCAAGAAATAATCAACCAATATTTTTTCTCATTCTTATCTCAAAGATAGATTTTTAATCAACGAGACAGAACCATTTCTACAAATCACAAACTTCATCAAGCCAAAGCTTAGGAAATTAACCTCTTAGGGCCGCAAGAGAACCCATTAAGTGCAGCAATATGTCGATGATGCAAGCGACCGAGTAACTGTACCTCCCTGTAGAAGGCCGTATCATCCTCATCTTCGAAACCTCGGACTTCTTTCACAAACGCAGCATGGCCATTTTGAAACTTTGCTCTGTAAGCAACTATTTTGGAAGAGTTGTAAACAATTCTCCTAAAACCATCAGTTGCTTTCTTTATATCTTTATTAGAGAAGTGTTTCACCAAGGATATTGGACCTGAAATTGATTTACGTTCAAAAACAAAATATCCCATGATTTTCAAGGCAAAGTCTGTGTCTAGCAGTAAACCTTCAAGGCTTAGACTTTCTTATATTAGTTAAAAATGAATATCTCAGTCCAAACAGTCAAGTAAACCTTCTAAGAGTGAGCCTGCTTGCTACATTAGAGGAAGTTGTGTAACAATGCCAGCCTAAAACTAATAGACTTGAAGACAGGACATAGTTCCATCAACAAGCCACAGCTTATAATGACGTTTCCAGCGATTGACAACCCTGCTTTACAAATTCTATTTTGAATCACCTAGCACACAATGTCTGCTAATTGCCATAGTTTCCATCTCAACCGTTCCAAGGAACAACAAGTGAACTAGGGTAAAACAACTGTAAGCATATGACCGAGAGAATTGCTTCACCAAGTCATTTTCAGTCATGTAATCTATTATATAAGGAACTATTTTCAAGCACCAGAAACTACTAGATGATAACCGAGTCCTTACACTATCATATTTACGGTGTTCTTGTATTTTATTTTTGTTTTACTTGTTTTCCCTTCCTTTTTTTTTCCATCACCAATTGGCAATGTCAGTGTTGTAAAAAAGAAACTAAAAGTAAAACTCACTGACAATGTTACTCACCCTTCTCCAATCAGCACAAAAAGACAAGGACAAAACTTTATAATTCACAAAAATAGTACAATTTTCTTTGGTTCACATCAACTTCAACTTCAGGGTCACCATTACTGCATAACACTAATCCAAAATACAGTTAAAGAAAGAAGAAACTAATACAGCTGCCGACACATATCTAGTCAGCAAAAACAACAAGTCAAGTTCACTATCAATTCACAAAATTACAACTTTACTGCAACCCGCCTCAAATTTTAACTTCAGGATACTTAAAAGCCTCACCCCTTAAGAAACTACCACAAAAATAAGCACAATCTGCGAGACTGCGACCCAAGAACCTCATAAGTAACAACATCAAAATCAACTTCAGGGTCATTATAAATTGTACTTCGTCCACCCATTCTCAAGCAATTAATCATCACTACATAAAAATAATCCAAAATACAGTGAACAGAAAGAAGAAACTAATTTGTTGCTCACACACATCTAGTCAGCATAAAACAGGCAAGTCAAGATCATTACCAATTCACAAACTTACAACTTTACTGCAAATTTCAACTTCAGGGTAATTAAAATCTCTAGCCTCCAACAACAGATTTCAAGAAACTACCACACAAATACCTGCGATCCAAGAACCTCGTCAGTTACATTTTTCTTCAATTCCCATCAACTTCAACTTCAGGTTCCTTACAAATTTTACTTCTTTCACCCATTCTCAAGCAATTAGCCATCACCACCACCACCACCAACATATCCATTTTAATTCCACAAATGAAGTCTAGGATAAGATGTACTCTATAATCTATACACAGACCTTACTGCTACCTTAGTGGGGTAAATAGTCTGTCTTTAATCAATTAACCATCACTACATAACAGTAATCCCATATACAGTCAAAAAAAAAGAAAAAACCAATTCTGCTGCTGACACACCTTAAGTCAGCATAAAAAGACAAACCAAGATCACTATCAAATTCACTAAAGATTACAACTTTACTACAACCCAATTCAAATTTCAACTTCAGGATAACTAAAAACTCCACCCCCTCACCCCACAAATTACACAAAATCTTCCATTCAAAAACTACCCACAACACATTCAACAAATACAATTTCACATGATTTGAGGCAGATGGGGTTTACCTGAATGAGATCTGAAATGCACCCAAGCAAGAATAAGAAGCCTAATTTTGAAGATCAAAGGTTCCATTGACAAATTCTGCAAGAAAAAGACAAGAAAAAGAAGAAACTTTTACAACTAGTACAAAGAGTGACAAGTGGGTCGGTTAACTGATGATGATGATGACCCATTGTTGCTTCTGACTTTAATAATCGAATATATGCTTTCTTTATCTCAAGTAAATTGAAACTTTTTTTGGCTCTACTATTAAAAAATAAAAATCGAAACTTTAGTGTATAGTTTTTGGAGAATAGAATATAGAAGTTTATAGATCTTGATTTTCTGTTAAAACTTAACGGCAGTGGTTTGGCAGTTGATGTGTGGGTCCCACAATTAAAAAGTAGATTGAAACTTGTGTTATCATTAAATTGTAGATAAATATGATTAGATAAGTGTGATTTAGTGGTGTAAATATATAACTAATAATGAAGTTAGAAGTTAGAAGTAGTCTCTATAATTGATAAGACGAGAACAGTGAAATTGAGATAATTGGATATGTGAAAAGACGGCGAGCAGATGTATCAATCAATATGAGAGTCGGTTGTAATATGATTCAAAAAAGATAATTAGATATGATGTTATATAACGTAACTATAATTTACGAAGAGGACGATCCTAAATAAAAATGCATGAAAGTGAATAATTAATAGTTGTGTAGGCTTTTATTATTTAACGTATATTTCTTGCTTCATTTAAAATTCATTAGTGCAAGAATAAAAATCCTCTGTTTTTACTTTTAAAAAGTCAATCAAAAATATGCAAAAAAAGTTTTTTTAACACACAACGAGCTCTAAAATAAAGTCGTCTTTAGTGGAGAGTATTTTACTGATCAAGTAACTTTTCAAGACGAGTTTGGATTACATAGGTCTTAAGGTGAGAACTGGAATTGGAACGATCCTAATTCAACTGTCAAAGATATTATCTGCTTTGGATCCAGATCCCGTATAGATTTATTTTTTGAGTTTTAACTTAAAAAGCATCTCACCAATTCATTCTATACATATTTTTGTAAGGTCTCTTTCTTTTCCCATTGTGATATAAATTCACTTAAAAAGCAATGTGCATTATCCTTTTTTCGGAGGACTACGTTTCATCTGAAAATCATATATCCCACCCTGGGACTTAGTGTCCTCGTTGTGATTTGCCCGACAATCGTATTGAGGGATATATAGTATTGCTCTAATACTATCTGTGACGATTATGGTCCAATTGTTAAGATATTATCGCTTTGAATTTAACCCCACCACACGAATTTATACACTTGATTTTAATCCCCTAAAAAAAAGATAGTACAACAATCTAGTCTAAACTCATTTTTATATATTTTATCTCATTTCGATATCAAATTCATCTAAAGATATAATACACACCCCCTTCTTTTTATGTTTACTCTCTATCATAAACGTCACATAAACCAAATGAGAAACGCACCACCCCGCAACACCCCCACCCCCCAAAAGTAAATAAATAAATAAATAAATGTTGTGATTTCTTTTTAATTTTTGAAATATTGGACCCTCTTTTATTCTCAATTTTTGACAAGTCTCTCTCATACCTAACAATGAGAGGTGGAGAGAATAGGAAACTCTTTACATTTCATTTTCTCAAACTTCCATGACTCTTATGTATAACCAATTCTTTAATTTTTAACATAGTAATGATAAAATGTATGAGATCAGACATTCTCCATTTTTTATTAGAAGTTTTGATACGTTATGAAAATATATATTACTCGTATCGATATATCCATGATATTACTATATACTAAAATAAAATAATGATGTATTAGTTAAGTTTCGAGTTCACAAAGAATTGTGTTTTTTTAAAGAATTTAATTCTCTCGTAGTATTACTATATGCTACTTTTAACTTCGGTTCACACCTCTATTTATGTAACATTATTATATATAATCTAGAGAGGGGAGCATGGGTTCACGTGAACCCACAGAACCCCTATCTAGATACGTCTCTGCTAGAAAATATGCTTTTAAGTAACTTATTATATATATATACAAATTATTAATTTATAATTCAAAAAACATAATTTTTTAAATTTATGAATTTTAAATTTTGACTCTGCTGTTGAATATAACCACCATCGAGAAATCACTTTCTTGATCATTATTTTTTTTAAAAAAAAAGAAGTCCTAATTTGTAATATTCCAAAATATTAATATCTCTATATCGCCCCCCTAGTCCGCTTTTCACATAAAGCCAAAGAAAGGTCACTTATTAATTACTACTATATGACTCCCACCCACTCATTCATTCAATAATCTCACCCACCCCCCTTTAATAATCATATGGTACTCGATATTATTATCTGATTAATTTAAATTTTATATAGCGTGAAGTTTACTAGATCTCTTTTATATATGTTGTATACTTTTTTGATAAAAAGTGTTTAATGACCATTCTTAATAAGTATATATATATAGTTTTGCCTGATCTGAAGTTTAATTACGTTAACTGAATAGATATATATTGATAAGGTTTAACAATAAATTGAAATATAGTATATATTAATATATTTTTATATATTTTATTTATTTATTATTTTATATCACGATGATCATATGTTTTAAGCTAACCGCATGTCAAACACTTAAAGAAAAAGTTTTGATCACTTATTTCTCGCATTAAATTATATGTTAGATATGTCATCTTTTTTATTATTCATTAATTGATGTTAAGATTATCCGAAATAGGAAAAAATGCTTTCGACTAAATATCTTAATCATTGACAAATATTTCACCTGCCTATAACGATTGTGTTGGATGAATTGTGACCATATATAATTACATCTTTATTTCGTTAATTATAATATTAATTCGGATTTGAAGCTTACTATTTACCAATGGAATATTATAAAGGATAAACCTTTGTTTAAATTTTTATTTTATTTTCCTAATCACTCCATTGGATTAATTGTACTATGCTTGTACATAATAATAATTTCGTTTTAATTTCAAACAAATTAAAATCAACTAATGTAAATTATCACTGATAATATTACTCTATTTCAATTCATATAATAAAAGAATTATTTACATAAAGTGTTTACACCAAATTAATGAATATAAGATACATGTTTTGCATATTTATTAATTAATGAAACACTTTAATATTTCATTATTCAACTCTCAATCATTAATTATGTTTTTAATCACTCAAATTTCAATTATGCAAGTGCATTTTTAAGAAGTATTATATCCACTCATTAAGCCTGAATATACTTAAATAATTAAGATTTTATAATAAATTATTATTATTAATATGTTATCCGTTAAAAATTTGTGACATGTAACATTTCATCATTACTCAATTTACTTTTAACACATATTGTCACTATCGTCCACTATTGTCAACTACTATCGCGTCATTGTTCTTCCCATTATCACTTATCACTAATATTCACTATCTTCGATCATAATTATTATCCGTGTTAATCACAATATAATCGATTTATTATCATGATCGCCATTTATAATCATCATTAACACTATGACTATCAACTACTATAGATATTCACCATTATCAGCTATAACCAGATATCTCCAAAACCAACACTATCAATTATTACCATTAGCTATCACCATATATTACCGATCAATATTATCATTAAGTATATTATTATTATTATCCACTATAATCATCGTTCGTCACCGCTAATATCATCATCATTAATTAACCACCGTTATAAACTATTACTATCAATCATTACCACTTACAAACGAGGTACTATCATTATCATCACTATCAACTATCATTACAACCGATCATCATATTTTATAATAAAAAAATACAAAACCTAAATATTTTCTATTGTACAACTATATACCACTCTCAAGTTGTAATAGAACACTACTATACAAAATCATACTCCCACTACTTCTCTCACCCCCACCCCCCACCCCCTACCCCCACCCCACCCCACCCCACCCCCATCCATCCACTCATCTCTCTATGTGTTCCACCTTTTTAATTGAAACCAAATAATATCTTTACCCTTTGAATAGGCTTTTTCTTAATTCCCTTTTACACTTTATATATTTTCTCTTTTGAGCATCTTTTTTTTTCTTCCTTACAATCCTTTTGCTTCAATTTGTATACAAACTTACCTTATATTATATATGCATACTATATATACATATGTATTTCTTCTTCACTCTTCCCCTTTGATCCATGTTCTATAGGTCAATAACCTAAAAAAAAACAATTAATTATAAATATAAAATGTCATTCGATATGACTTTTTCTTCTTCACCTTCCTCAGAACGCGTTTGTTACTTGCAATGTAATTTTTGCAACACCATTCTTGCGGTAAATATTTCTTCATCCTTCTTCAAACTTGTTTGAATTTTAATTACTTATTGTGCATATGATAATATAATTACTAGGGTTAAAAAAAAATATGCATGTTAGTCTAGGGCATAATTTGATTTTAAGCTCATGTGTGATGAGTATGATCATAGATTATTTATTATTAAAATTAAAAAAATATGTTTTTGATAGAAAATATATGTCTTTTGTTTTTTAGGTTTCAAGTGAAGTAAATATGGATGAAATTTTTGAAACATAATCTTATTTAGATGAAATATTCTTCTTTTATGAATTATAGAGTAAAAAGGATGTATTTGGTTGGATTTATAATCTTTCTTTGATATTTTATGTTAATTTTTACTAGATTTCACTTGGGACAAAAAAGGGTTTGTTGGTTTTTTTTTTAAAGAGTTTCATTTGTTTGGAAAATCTTGAAAAATTAACTTCAAATGAGTTTTATAAATAAAAAAAAAGAATTTTTATGATCTGAAGTATTTTCTTTATTCCAAAATTTCACAAATTATTGTACTACTAATTTTGGTGTAAATTAGATCTCTTACCTTCAAAATTGAAAAAAGAGAAAAAAAAATGGTGGGGTTTTCTGTTCACACATTTTAACACATTTGCCCACTGGATAATAAACTCAAAATAATAATAATAATAATAATAATATTTTTTCTTCTTTTTTCCCCAATTTTTGGGATATAACTAATTATGTTTAAGAGAAATAATCATGATTGGAATTTGAAACAATTAAGTATTGTTTTTTATTGAAAAAAATCATTTATAGAATTGTAGATCATTTAAATTAAAAGGAGAAAAATAATAATTCATATATAATATATAATATTTGTTATATATATTTTTTATTTATTTATAGAAGTTTATTAGATCCTTGTATTGGAATTGGACTCTGATTTCTGTTCTAGTCATGTCATTTTCCTTGTTATCTCTTTAAATTTATCACTTTTCTAGTGACTGAACAATGGTCAGAAAAAAAGTCAGGAGCACCAAAAGTAAAGGAATTAAAGAGATATGATTAGAGATACGATACTTTATCTTTAATCAGACGTCTCGAATAAAAAAAATTATGATAAAAACTAAGGTCATATGCATATAAATTCTGATTAATTGAGACTCTAAAGCTCAATTAAGGACTATAAATTCCCTTACCTTAGTTGTCCTTTGTGTCATGAATTTTGAAGTTAAAAGAGTTAAAATTTTAAATTTTAAAAATTGTGATTTTTTAAGTTGTATTTAGACATGTATTTTACTTTAAAATTTTTAAAGTTTTTTGAATGAAAATTTGAAATACTTCAGTTTTCGCTCACCTCAATTAATTCTACGAAATATCAAGGGTTTTCACATAGAAATAGTCACTACAACAAAAACAACTTTTAACGACAGTAAATATTGACATTAATAAAGAATGCTAAAATTTTTACCGACATTAGTTAAGTATCATTAGAACCAATATCACTAAATACTTTAACGACATATACGAAGAGTGCTAATTGATGCTAATGATCATTTTTGACGTAGTAATCGCTGATTACTACTAGTCAAACTAGAAAGAAGTCTATAGTTTAGTTATGTAAATTGTTACTACTTAATTTTTGTTATAGTGGTTACACAAATGGTAAATTATTATAGGATTGGATATATCTATAATATATATAAAATAATTATAAGTAATTTATATATTGACAAGCTATAATAGATAAATTTTTATAAATTTTATTCGAAAGAAATTAGACATGATAATTTTTCATCATATCCAGTTCGAACTCTCAAGACTATAATTAGTTATTCTTTTTTTTTTTCAAAAAGTTCCATAAAATCGAAAATTATTATATTTATATAATATTTCTCGATTTTAATCTGATGATATAAAAAATCTATATATTATCAGGTTAGTGTTCCATGCAGCAACATGTTAACCTTAGTGACAGTAAGATGTGGGCATTGTGCAAATATGCTTTCTGTTAATATTGGATCTTTAATTCAAGCTCTACCCCTTCAAGATGTTCAAGTAAGTAAATATATTAATTATTTTTCTCTATTTCATTTTATTTACGTATAAGACATATACAATCTTTTACGCACTATAATAAGTATTCATGAATCTTACGTAGGAACTTTTATTAGTGCTCAAACACGAAATACTTAGTTTTATGAATGTTTGCTTCAGATCGAATATAATCAAATATTGATATATTCAGATAATTTGAAAATAATCAATTCATCGCTTAAGCGAGACATTGATCAATTGCTATCCTTTCCTTTTCGATTTGTTCCAGTAAAACAACATGTAATTTCTACATTTTAAGGATAATTCGAGTTTAAACCTTTCAGTTTAACCCTAATATTTATAATTTTATAATTATATAATATTATGACATTTTTAAAATTATAATTTCTTTTAAAAAAAATTTATATACTTGTGTGTAATTCATAATCTCTATGGTCAAATGCTGTCTCTCTCTCTCTCTCTCTTTTTTTTTTTTACCTTTTCCTAATTTTGTGGTAAAAAAAATTAAAAAAATATTTTTTTCCATTACTTTTTTTGTTGGTGGAGGAGAAGAAAGTGTTTTATACTAATTATTACTATGATAATAATAATATATATATTTTTTCTTTTTATCTGACAGAAGCTGCAAAGGCAACAGTACACAAATGTTGAAAATAATTCTAGTAATTATAAAGCTTATGGTTCATCATCATCATCCTCTTCAAAGTTCAACAGATATTCTTCCATTGTTTCTCCTCAAATTGAACCTAAAATCCCTTCGATTCGTCGTAAGTACTCTCTCTATCTCTCTTAATAAATCGCTACACATTAATTATATATAATCGTTCATAATAAGTAGAACGAGCAAATTATAACTTAATAAATAAGACAGTTGACCTACTATAACATATTTGAAATTTAAAGTTATAATATTAGTATATAAGTTAAATATTTTGTTGAATTGTTGTTTGCAACATGTCCTTTCAAAGTGTAATTAACTTAAAACAAGCTAGGTAAGTGTAACCGGCTACCAGGTCAATTTAAATCAAGTTAAGATGTTTAAATATATATTTTTTAAAGTTATATCGATATATCATATATCTTTAAGTTATATATACGTTTATCGATCGTAGCAGATAATCTGAGTTATTTATAAGACTATAATTTCGATATTATTTGGTTGATCTAATAATATAAAACAGCATGTACATTGTTGATGTACATAAGTATAGTGACTTAGAATCTTTATCAAGGTGATTCGAATAATGAAAATACGATATATAAGATTTGAATTTAAAGTATCAAATAGAGCTAATTTTTACTTTTATGTTCAGATAATTTAAACTCTTTATATATATAATATGATATTTTATTTAAAAAATAAATAAATGAACATGTGAATCCGTCTCGATTTGTAGTATGAAAAAGGAGGAGATATAATTGACAATAATATTTGGACTACATGAAGTTTCCTCTTCACTTTTATGACAACTGAAATTGATTGTGACATTACATTTGTATCCAACTCATCAATAACATTGTTAATTATTAGGGCCCTTTGGTTGGAGAACAATTTATATATTAAAATTAAATTTACACAGTTAATACTATAATATGTTTGGTGTGATAATTTAAGCACATTATTTGGTTATTATTTTTATAATTTTATTTAAATTAAAAATATATAAATTGTGAATTATAAAAAATAAAATAATTAATACATGCATTATTAATATCTTCATAATTTAAACGACGCACTTTAAATCAATAATCCATGTGGCATAATAGAAAACACTTCTAAATAACAATGAAGCTAGGGTTATGAAAAAATTCAATGGTTTTTGAGCAAAATCTTGTATTTATGTAATTATGTTAGTGAATCAACATAACAGGTACATAGATAAGTATCGAATACGTTACCTTTTCTAAAACTCAAAATTTATAAATTTAAAATTTTAACTCCGTCTCTTTCATATATCAAACTATGCAGCACCAGAGAAAAGACAACGTGTTCCTTCTGCGTACAACCGATTCATCAAGTAAGTTTTTTTTTCTTCCAGTAGATATTATGATGTTAATTTATTAATTCGCATTTAGAAATTTTAAATTTATGTATTTTTGAGATCAAATGTACTAAGTTCTACGTAATTCGAAAATCCGTCCATATTTAGTTACCCCTCTCTTGCCACCGAAAATTTGCAATATATTTATATTTACTGAGATCAAAAATATATATTTAAAATACCGATCGCATATTTTTTGCGCTATATTATTATGTTTCGAATGTGTATAGGGAAGAGATTCAAAGGATCAAGGCCAGTAATCCTGATATTAGCCATCGTGAAGCTTTTAGCACTGCTGCCAAAAATGTAAGTCCTCTCTTAATCAAAAATCTCGAGATTACACTGTGAAAATAATAAAAAAAAATATTGTTTTCGTTAGTATACCTAACACAATGAAAATGGAAACTAATATGGATACCTAGAAGGAGTTAAGCATGGGAAAAAGCGGGAGAGTCTTTTTAAGTTGATGACTTTTTGAATGATCGTGTGTTTAATTTACTTTTTTATGTCTTAAATCAGATTAAATTATGAAAATAAGAAAAAAGAATCTTTAGTAAAAAGCGTTTTTCTCGTTAGTAGACCTTACACAATGAAAATGAAAACTATGAATACCTACAAGGAGTTAAGCATGGGAAATAGCGGGAGTGTCTTTTTAAGTTGATGACTTTTTGAACGATTTTGCGTTTAATTTACTTTTTTTTATGTCTTGAATCTTTTAGGTAAAAATCTTACTTTGCATGTGATATAATACTAATTATATATCGTTTGAACTATAATTCTAGGCTTTCATATTTCAACTATATATTATTTCTATAATTTATCTAAATTATTATTTTCTTTGTATTAATATATACTTTTGGTGTTGAATTGTCCAAATGTTTGTCGATAAACGTGCGTCTATTTTTAACCATTTATTCATCAAAATAATAATTTTAAACGTATTTTTAATCGTTAATTCAGACAAATAATAAAACAACAAAAGAAATGAAAATAACTTGAACTATATATTATTTCTATAATTTATCTAAATTATTATTTTCTTTGTATTAATATATACTTTTAGTGTTGAGTTGTCCAAATGTTTGTCGATAAATGTGCGTCTATTTTTGGCCATTTGTTGATCAAAATAATAATTTTAGACGTATTTTTAATCGTTAATTCAGACAAATAATAAAACAATAAAAGAAATGAAAATAACTTGAATTATATATTATTTCTATAATTTATCTAAATTATTATTTTCTTTGTATTAATATATACTTTTGATGTTGTAATATATACTTCTGATATTGAATTGTCCAAATGTTTGTTGATAAACATGCGTCTATTTTTGGCCATTTTTATTCATCAAAATAATAATTTTAGACGTATTTTTAATCGTTAATTCAGACAAATAATAAAATAATAAAAGAAATGAAAATAACTTGAACTATATATTATTTCTATAATTTATCTAAATTAATATTTTCTTTGTATTAAAATATATTTTTGATGTTGAGTTGTCCAAATGTTTGTCGATAAACGTGAGTCTACTTTTGGCCATTTATTCATCGAAATAATAATTTTAAACGTATTTTTAATCGTTAATTCAAACAAATAATAAAACAATAAAAGAAAAGAAAATTACTTGCACTATACATTATTTCTATAATTTATCTAAATTATTATTTTCTTTGTATTAATATATACTTTTGATGTTGAGTTGTTTAAATATTTATCAATAGACGTGCGTTTATTTTTGGCCATTTATTCATGATTTTAGACGTATTTTTAATCGTTAATTCAGACAAATAACAAAACAATAAAAGAAATGAAAATAACTTGTTGCATGTGGAATTTTTTGAATGTTCACAAAAGAAAAATTATGGTAGGGACAAACAAGAATGACCACTAAAATAGAAGAAATTAAAAAAGAGAAAAATATATTTTTCAAGATTTTATCTTTTATTTTAATTTTTTGCTATTTTTGCAGTGGGCACATTTTCCACATATTCACTTTGGACTCAAGCTGGAGGGCAACAAATAGCGAGGGAAAAAAAACTTTAATATATGATATATACATATATATATATGCATGTCTTTTATGTTGTTTTCGTCGAAGATTTATCAAAAATAATGTTTTTATTTTTTAAAAATTACTTTTTTTTTAGATTTTATTTATAAAAATATGCTGAATATGTTATTATTATTATTGTCCTCGTCTTAATATTATTTTCAGAGTTGTGAAAGTCTGTTGATGTGGTTAAATTAAATTTTATTTATTATTTTCAAAGTTAACTCAATAATAAATACACTTCTCTTGTGAATTTTTTATACTCCTTTGTCCCATTTGATGTATTATTATTTGGGGAGCTTAAAGAGTTTTTTTTTTTTTTTTTTTAAAAAAAATTAGTTTAGTTACTACTATTGTGATCACTTATACATGATATGTTAAGTAGTAAACATAATTTAAATATCTAAATTTTATTTTTTTTAAATAAAATTTTTTTATACCTGATAAAATTTGCACATTATCTGAAATAATTTAATCGATATATTTTTAATCCAAACACCTTAAATGAAAAGAAAATATCTATTTGTGGAGTGTAATATATATATATATATATATATATATATATATATATATATATTCAGACTTCTAAATCATTTGTCCATGAGAATTTATTATTTTTTTTTTAAAAAAAAAACATCTTTCTCTTCTCTATAATTTAGGGGGAATTAGTAGTAGAAATGTATATAAAATTCAAAATTTTGGAGTTGGGATTTAAAAAGATTTTTTTTAATTGTAATTTATTTGATTTATTAGGTTCACAATTTCTTTTTACATATTGAGTTTAATAAATTTATGAAATAACATATAATATTAATAAATTATTAATATATATACACATTATTGTGGGTTTTTTTTCAACAAATGAAATGACTACGTACTAGAAAGTGTCTATGGACTTTTGTCATTTTGGACACAATTATCAATCTGTTGCTAACCTTTTATATTTTCTTTTTAGTTTTTATTTTATTATTATTTTTTATTTTTTTTTACTTTTAACCAACATTGATCTCTTTTTTTAAAAAAGTGATCAAGTTATGATTGGTAAATAGAGCAAAATAAGTACTCCCTGCATCCAAAATAGAGTGTCGCGTTAACAAAAATCACGTTTATTATAAAGTTAATAAATATAATATATAGTTTCTTTTGAAAATTTAATTATAAGAAAATAATTGAATAGACATGCTAATTTTTATTTGGTTAAAATATTTATCACCTTCCTGCACTTAAAGTTTTTTATTTGGTGTACACTTAAACTATATTCTGTTTTAATTACCCCTTAAACTTGTTTATTCCATTATCACGTACATTTTTTTGTCTGTTGCTCCTAGTGTGACTACACGCGCACGTCAGCTGGCAAAAATAGTGATGATGTGGATTTCCACCTGGATAAATAATAGTCACCTAGATAAATTAAAATGACAAAAAATAAATATCGTATTCCAACTCCTTTCCCGGTTGCCATCAATCTCCACCACCAACCACCGTATCTCTTCTTCTCATCTCTCTTTCCAATGCAAAATCAATACTTCACTCTAACCTCCTTTCCGCTACAAAACGACACGGTTTCTTCCGGCTCACAAAACACTCCATCTCCTCTCACCTTGCTCAATCAGCTGAATCGGAATCCTTATCCATTTTCAAAATACTGCTATCCGAAGAACTGGCCCTTGGGCTTCGATAATGATGACGACGACAACGGTGAAGTTGTCTGCGGCCTGTCAATATTAAAAAAAATAGAGATTTTATATTTTTATTTGCTGTTGTAGCTTTATGACGTGGCAAAAAATCACTCCCTCACGCGCCTAGTAGAGTGTGATTTCAATTTTACGCCAGGTGGACAAAAAAAGTGCACGTGTTGGATGAATAAACAAGTTCGAGGGGTGGGGGGTGGGGGTAATTCAAACAAAATAAAGTTTAAGTGTACACCAAATAAAAAACTTCAAGTTCAGGGAGGGTAATGAATACTTTTGCTTTTTTATTTTGAATTCTTAAGATGTTATTTATTATGAGATAATTTATTTTTTAAAATAATATTTATTTTGAGACGAAGAAAAATAATATTGTACGTACTTTTACTTTACCTTTCTTTGATTTCTTTTTTCTTCAAACAAATTTTGCCTTTTTTTTTTAGGTAATTTGAATTTGCAGTAAAAAGTATTATTTGAATGTTCAATGGTCATATACAGATTATTTTCCTAAGTGGTGTGGTAATTAGGATTTTAATTTTTTTTCAGAGCACTTTATTTTTCAAAGTACCTTTAAACTATTTATTAGTATTATTTTTGTTTTACAAAATGAACTTTGAATTGTTTTCTAATTTTGAGTATATACGACTAAAAATGTAAATTTATATAAAATTGAAAAAATAAACACACTTAGCATATATAACTAATTTGCATTGTACCATGAAAAATACATATTATGCCTTTATATTTATTTTACAAATATATCATTTACTTATATTATTTATGTATGATTAAAAAATCTATAAAAGTCATTATCGAGATGATATCACTTCACATAATGTGTCATGTATATCCGATCTTCTAGCTGACAAAATATTCTTTAATTTATAGTAAGTTTAAACATAAAATTTCTTATTAAGAAGGAAAGAAAGTGTCGAGATGACACCGCTTCACGTAATGTGTCATGTGTTTTTGATCTTCTAGCTAATAAAATGTTCTTTATAGCAAGTTTTAACATAAAATCTCCGATTAAGAAGAAAAGAAAGCGTCGACATAACATTGTTTCACGTAATGTATCACGTGTATCTAATCTTCTAACTGATAAAATATTCTTTTCAAAGATGAAATCTCTGATTAAGAAGGAAAGAATATCAATCATTATTTTCACAAGTTCCATGATAACAAGTTTTTTTTTTTTTTGAAAACTTACGATAACCTGCAATCACTATAACCTTTGTCACAATCTCTTTTCTTTGGGTGAGTACTCTATGCCTAATGGGTGAATTCCCCACTGTGTAATCGCCTGCAAATCACACAAAGAAACCGCACTAGGCAAGTCTTATGCGATAAATTCGACTCAAAAGACATTGAAAAAAAATCGATACTGAATTATCGATGTGGATAACCACCCTCCAGATTATAATAACAATTTGATGTTTATTTATGACTAGTAGAGTAGAATAGGTGAGTAGGTGACTAAAGGTTGCAGAATCTGATATGTCAAATCTTATAGTTAGTATTAGTCTGTCATGTCAAAAATTAAGTTGCAAAGACAAAGAGCCCAAAGTTGTAGCTCACTTTTTCTTTTTGATTTCATACTTTTGATGTTTGATATCAATGTATTCATTTGGTGCATAAAATAATGCTCAATAAAGGAAAAACACTTTATACTATAGTTATTATTATTATGTATAATTTATATAAAAGTGTTTGACTGATAAAGTTGTAAAATGAAAAAAGGAAATGTATATTTCGATGGTATCAAATATTAAACGTGAATTAGTAATAAAAGACGGGGGGAATGAAATAAGGAATAGCCGCCTGTAAATAGTTTTCTCTTTGGGTACGAGTGTTCTTTTCCAAAATCTTTTGTCAAATGATCGTTAAAGACTATTTCTTATCATTTTAAACGAGATACATTTCATCAACCCGAATTCAATAGTCCGGCCCAAATCAAGCCACAATCTGATTGGGCCTAATAATCCATCTATAGCCTTATATGGGCCAAACCATTCATTACCCTTCGTTCATTCTCTTTATTTATATGTTATCATTTTAAATTTTATATTCTCTACGAAAAATAGACAATTTTATCATTATATTCTTATATAGAGCCCATTTGACCATGCAATGTGAGACCATGATATAATATCATAATATGAAATCATGATTTCATATTATGACTCATTATTATTTTATATTATGAATCAACATGAAATCACATGTTCAAATGTCGATTTCATCTCACGATATAGTATTGCATGCAGGGGCCGACCTACAACGGTTTAACTGGGTTCATATGAACCCACTTCGTTGAAAAATAATACCGCATATGTATGTATATTTAATTAGTTTTTAAAATTTCGTACGTATATATTAACTTTTGACCCTGCTAACACAAATGTGATCCTTGACCGAATGGTGAAGATGGTTCAAATTTTCCAACCAACCCTTGTTCTGATCCCTGATGCTACTTGACATCAAGTTTTCAATAAATAAACATAAGTTTATTTTTTTTATATCTTGAACTCACTTCGTGAAAATAAAATTTAACTGGTAAGTGTATATCATAGTCAATGTGTTGATGGGTCCCACTACCCTTACCCTATACCCTACACTATCATACAAGGTGCTGTCTCCCTTTAACTCCACATTTCAATTTTAGGAGAGTGGCAGCTGAGGAGTGGGTAGTTAGCTCAGCTAATAGTACACCACTCTATTATTTTTTCAAGAAAATTTTTCATTGTACCTTGTTAGATAGCCAACATTCTTTCACAATTCTTCCTTTTGGGGTATACTATAATTCCAAAATTTTCAACCCCATTTCATGATTTTCCCTTTACTCAAACCCCATTATCATAAAGTTTCAATTTTTATCAAGAAAATGAGAGCAGTTTCAGTATTTGGTGGTGTGTTCCTTGTGTTGGCAGTGTATTGTGGGTTGGACCCTTTTAAGCATAGTGCAATTTCTGAGTTCCCAAATTTTGAGTCTTTTAAGGTTGAGATGCCAGCTTGGTCTGAAATCCCAGTTGAAAAAGATTCACAAAATTTGCTTCAAAAATCTGAAGTTAAGTTCTTGGATCAAATTCAGGGGCCAGAAAGTATTGTTTTTGATCCTCAGGGTAGAGGACCTTATACAGGGATAGCTGATGGAAGAGTTGTGTTTTGGGATGGTGAAAAATGGAATGATTTTGCTTATACTTCAGCTAATAGGTGAGTTTTTGTTTTCCCCCTTTTCCTCTTTAGGTTATGGTTCTTGGTTCAAATTTCTTGTTTGTTGTGATTATGCCTATTTATTATGTTTTTGAGCAGTAGAAATAGGCTCTTGCAGAAATGTAGTGTAAGGCTGCGTACAATTGACCCTTGTGGTTTAGCGAACTCTGCAACATAGCGGGAGCTTTAGTGCACTGGACTTTCCTATTTGGTTGTGTTGTGTTCTCATTATAATGATCTTGTAAAAAAAAAAAGAGGTGTAGTCAAAGGTGGCTTA